AGAGACTGGTCCGCTCACTGGCTGAGCGCGGTGCGGGCACGACACCGAGGGTTGCGATCCCATTACCAGTCACGAAAAAAGACAAAAAAAAGGAAAAAAACAAAACAAAACAAAAAAACCCCAGAGAACCCTGCACTAAACACATCACAGTAAAACCACAAAACATAAAAGACAAAGAGAAGATTTAAAAATCAACCAGAGAGAGAGGACATTATCACGAGAAGAGTGCTGGCAGAGTGACGGCCCATCCAACACAGCAGCAGTGGAAGCCAGAGGCCGTGGAGGCCTATTTTCAAAGTGTGGAGGGAAATAAATAGCCAACCTAGAATCACGCGTGCAGCAAAAATGCCTTTCAAGGATATAGACAAAATGCAGGCATTTTCAGAAACATGAAAATCGAGCCTGCCACCTGATATATTTCCATTTACTTCTTTCTCTCCTTTCTACTATTCACCAAATAGAAAAGGGTGAAAAGAGATGCCTGGATGGATGAGTTCTGGCATAATGCCCGCCCTACAGCACCCAGAACCTCCTCTGGTCTTGAGATCTTATGACTGCCTTATCAGGGTTATAGAAATCCAAACTCTCGTCCACTTACTAACTAAGTTCTTTTAAATTACTNCTCTCCTTTCTACTATTCACCAAATAGAAAAGGGTGAAAAGAGATGCCTGGATGGATGAATTCTGGCGTAATGCCCGCCCTACAACACCCAGAACCTCCTCTGGTCTTGAGATCTTATGACTGCCTTATCAGGGTTATAGAAATCCAAACTCTCGTCCACTTACTAACTAAGTTCTTTTAAATTACTCATTGCCTCTTTCCCTCCTCAATTCGCTTCATGTTGTTATCAGGGTTATAGAAATCCAAACTCTCGTCCACTTACTAACTAAGTTCTTTTAAATTACTTGCCTCTTTCCCTCCTCAATTCGCTTCATGTTTCCCTCAGATTTTGAAGCTAGAAAATTCCTTACTGGATCACAAGAACAAGACCATCCAAAACGATTACCGCAAGACCCAGCCCCTGAACCACAGGGTAGTGGAAGCCAATTTCATGTACTTCCCGAATCAGCGTGAGTGACATCAACTCTTGCTTACTTTTTTTTCCATTTTGTTGACTCCTGTTTTCCTCCCTTCTCTGGGTGGACCCATGTCTTCTGGCACCAGGAAGGGAAGGATCATTATCTAAGTAGCAGGAGGCTCTAGAATGGGTCACCCTGCATGGGGCTCGGGCAGAGCGCGATGACTCACTTTCCCAGTCCAGACAGTGATATTGGTGAGGAGGACAGAGGGGACAATAAGGACAGACAACCACATGATTTATTACCCAGTCTTAGCAAGGGACAGTAGGAGAGGCAAGGTGACAAAACCATCCAGAGGGTCTTGTAAGAAGGCAGGTTCAAGTCATCCTCATTAAACCCAACTCAAATTATCTTGGTCCGTATTACAAACTTATTCCCAACTCCTCTTGTATATTCTCTCAAGGTGGGGTTAACTAGGCCACCTATGGTCTCTACACCTGCTTGGGGATCAAGCCCCAGCCACCAGGGAGTGGCAGTCAAGCCTCCAGTGACCCTCTGTCTAATGGGTCAGGTCCAGCTGTGTTCTTGGCTCACTTCATCTCTAGTTGCAAGAATATAAATATTCTGCAAGCTTCCGTCTTTATTTTGTCTGCTTCTCTGCAAGGTTGTGGTACATTGTACACATTCTCTTAATTCGTTGTCTGTACAGATCTATTTCTATTAACCATTCCTGATACTTTTATATCCTCTAAAACAATAGCATCGATCTCCAATCAATATTGCCCACTCCATATGACCCCACCTTTATATGTGTCTTTCAGAGCTTTTAAATTTCTACCCTCTCCCCCTAGTAAAGACCCATTTGTGATTCTCTCCCCGTCTTTCCTTCCTGGATCATTTATTTTCTCTTGTATCAGTTTGCTCCTCCAATATAATACTAACAGAGGGGAAAAAAAACCAAACACCAGCTATAATTTTAATTTCTCCTTAATGTATTATATACAGTATTAACAGCAACAATTTATTTTCCAAAAAGGGTGACGTCCTCTTAAACAGGCCCAATTGCTATCGGGCTAACCAAAGGAAGCTTAGACCCATTGACATGTCTCCTTGTTCTAAATTTTGCCATATACTCCTGCTTTCCCTAATAAAATCTTACGCTGTTTTTGCAGCAGACACCAACAGACTGTATCCTTTCTCACATGCCACATCTTAAATGCTCTTTGCACTAGGGGTCACTCCAGTGCACATGAGGGAGCTCGGCTGTTTAGGGTTATTACTTCAGCTCCCTGTAGATAGTAAGAGGGCTTCTTCCCCTCCCCCTGCCAAGGCATCTAAATTATGGTCTTCCTTGTTGATACTAGAAAAGAGGACTGGGAATCATTAATATGATTAACCCATTAATAAGGAAGGCCACAGAAACCAAGGTCAGTTACAGAAACAAGACAATGGCCAAATACAGACCATTTGAAATCTATTTGTTATAAATCACTTACATATCCTAAAGTAAAGGCCACTAAGCATAATCTGAGAAATCTGATTCAGGAGGCAAACCCTTGGGTTCTGGCAGCTTATAAGCTCAGGTTCAGACACAGCGAAGATGCCTGAAGCCAGTGGAATGGGAACGTGGAGGCCATTCTAAGGAATCAAAAGTACTTCCCATAAATACACACGTGGGCAATGGTGTCTGGCTGCCCCTCATTCTCTGTTTTCATAAAGACCTTCAAAGTTTTGAGTTTTTCCGACTAACTCTTCTTGTCACAGATTACGCTCTAGGCTCTGAGTTCCGGTCTTACCTAAGCAAGATCAGCGAGAATATCGAGTATGTGAGAAAATTTGTCGAACAGAAGAAAGCGAGGAGAAAAAGCCAGTGTTAACTGACTTGAAGCACGACCTCGTACAGGAAGAGGGTGCTTTGCTCTGCGGCCACACCCTGTCCCTCCTAAGAACCCGTGTACCTGGACTGCGTCACTGTCCCTGAGGCGCTTGTTGACTTTCTGATTAACACAGCGGAAGCCTTTTGGCTTAGGATAACATCTGTAATGCCAGTCTTTGTAGATACATTTTCAAAGTGCACACAGTCTGGACACTAAGGTGCCATGGAAAGTATCAGTCAAGACGCCAGACCTCGCCCTGACCAATCACATTCACACACGACTCCCGGGACCCCCACCCATGATTTTGCTCCATAAATGCTTGCGATTCTAAGCTGTCGAGGAGTCTAGTGTCTTAAAAGCTCCTTTGGTTACCCTGGGTTCCTTTGAATGACATTCTAATAAATGCTATTCTTTAACACTGCAAACTTTGGCACACGAGATTTCTTACATATTTGGGCAGTGGATGACAGACCTCTCTCGGTTCAGTAACACCAGCTCAAATTTCCCTTTAGCATTTACACTTAATGAAATCTGAAAATTTGTTATTTTAAAATTTCTCTTTTTTATTCCTTTGTACCACTTCAAATATCCCTTCTTTGCCCTAATCCGAGGGACACAGGTGAGAGGGACAGAGATCAAGTGAGAGGGATTTGCAGGACCAAGATTAAGAAGAAAAGAGATTCTTTTTTTTTTTTGTCTTTTTGTCTTTTTTCGTGTCCGGCAACGGATCGCAACCCTCAGTGTCGCCCCCATACCGGACCGGGGACCGGCAACGGGATCGCAAGCCTCGGTGTTGCTCCCGCGCCTCGCTCAGCCAGTGAGCGGGAACCGGTCTGTACGTGGGATCCGAACCCTCGGACGGGAGTGCCGCCGCGCTTCCCAAGCGGCGCACTATAACAGTGCGCCACCGGGCCGGCCTGAAGGAAAGAGATTCTTACATTGAGAATTTGTCACGGAAAGGTTTGGAGCATTGGTCATGCCTTGTGAGTCCAAGAAAGGAGACGGGAAGGAAGGCAGCCTCCTGGGAGAGGTGGGGCGAGGCCCTCGCCGCAGGCCTGCGCCTCGTTAGGTGAGTGGTGCCCGGGGCCTTCTGGCACAAGACCTGGGTTCCAGTGCAAGCTCTGCCACTTATTGGTCAGGTGGGATAACAAAACAACCTGCCTTCTAGGGGTCTGGTTTGATTAAATAAGATCATGCTGCGAAGTACCCAGCAGAATAGCCATTGTTTTTCCTGGTCAGTTATGGGTCCCCTTCCTCACCCACGCTGTAACTCCCCCTCGTCCCCGAATGTGCCGGCCCTCGTCCTCCTGAGTTCCTTCCTGCGCTCTTATGACCACCTTCCTCCCTGCATCTTGTTACTCATCATATCCAAAGCACTTCCACTCATGACTACGTTTAGCCCTGAAGGCACGTCTTCATGACATCGCATTATTCCCAGGTGTAGGGAAAGTGAAGGAAAATGGTCAGGGCCCCTCAGATGTCCAGAATCTTGCTGAGCATTTGATGTAAATATGCACACGCGCCCAGGTGTTCCTTGGCTATTGTCTAATGAAATTGCGCATGTGCACCCAGCTGTCCTGGGTTATGGACTTCAGTATAAAGGACGAGTGGCTCTGATCCATGGCACCCCTGGCCCCCAGGATGCCCCTGGCAGGGGCCACGGGGAGGCCACTACTGCTGCTGGAGGCTATTGCTGCCAGTGCCACCAGGGCCCTCCAGGAGGCTACTGCTCCTGCTGCTCTGCTGCTCCTGCTGAGGACTGAGCTCGCGTCATCTGCCAATGGCTCCTGGGATCTTTCCCAATTGCCTAGCGTGGACCTGCGTGTGAGGGGTCTGGTGACCCAGTCTGTACAATGGGTTTGAAGGGTCCGAGCCCTAGCCCTGACCATACAAATAGAAACTTAGTATAACTAAAATCATGAAACGTTTTGGCTTTAGTTATGAAATGCCTAGCCCTACAATTCTCTGGTAGCTTTACACCAGGTTACAGAAAAAGAAACCAACATTCTGACTTGGCCAAGATCTCACAAGTAGAAGGTGAAAAGCCAAGATCTGAACCCATGTCTTTTGTATCCAAATTCTTTTAATGACAGAATCTTCGTTTTGCTTGTTTATCAAGCTTTTTTGAGCACCTGCTATGTGCCAGACATGGGGCTGAGTTCTGGGGGTGCAGAGATGGGTGAAGAATGGTTCCTATGCTCATGGAGCTCAAGTCCAGTGAACAGAACAGACACTTAAATAACCCATCTCCCTGTGAGGGGAGAACGCCTATGCTTAAAACCTCCACGGAAGGGCTGGTGCTTGGCCTGGGTTTTGAAGTCTGAGAAGGAGCACACCAGCTCAACCAAATGGCAAAAGGGCAGCGGTTATTGTAGGTCAAGAGAACAGCATGTGCTGATGGAAAAACACACAGGGAAGTAACAGTAGTCTGGTGTGGTCAGAAGACCTGGTTCAAGGATTCTGGCAGGCTGATAGTTTGGATATGTTGTCTCCCCAAAGCTCATGTTGAAATTTGATCCTCAACGTGGCAGTGTTGGGAGCTGTTTGGGTCAAGGGGGTGAATCCTTCATGGATAGATTAATACCCTCCCCGGGGTGGGAGTAGTGAGTGAGCTCTTGCTTTATTAGTTCCCATGAGAGCTGGTTGTTTAAAGGACCCTGGCACCTCCCCGCTCTCTCTGCTCTGCCATATTTGCCATGTGATACCCTGAGTCTCTGTAGTCACCACCAGGACAAGGCCCTCACCAGCTGTGTTCCCTGGACTTTGGACTTCCCAGCCTCCGAAACTATAAGCAATACATTTCATTTTCTTGCAAATTACCCAGTTCCGGGTATTTCTGTTATAGTAACACAAAAACAGACTAATATATGGGCAAAGAAGTGGGCATAACCAAGGGGACATCAAGCCACCACTAGAACCTTCTGTGCCACTAAAGGTTTTGGATTTTACTCTGCGAGTGATGGGCAGCTACTGCAGGGTTTTTAGCAGGGTAATGACATGGTAAGATGCATTCTTTCAACCAGAAATGAGCATCTATTATGAATTGGAAATGCAACGTGGACACTATAGCTGAGGAGCTCACTTACATTCCTGTGAGGAGGGAGATAATAGAAACAAGTAAATGAACATGTAAACACACAGCATTACATTTGCCTACATCCTGTAACTCAGCCCTTCTACCCCTGAAACTCTATCTCAACAAGAGATGCAAAAAAGCCATTCACGGTAGCCCTATTTGCAGCAAAATACTGGAAACAATGCAAATGTCCATCAGCTGGGGATTGGTTGACTAAACCAGGGCAATCACACAATGGAGAATGCATAAAGAATAATCTCTAGGCTATATTTTTAAGAGAAAAAAGCAAGTAAAGAACAGTGTGTATGTATGCATACGTTTTTTACAGATGGCATAAAAATTTTAAATGTGAATATATTTATGCTTATGTTTATATTTGCTTATGTTTTCAAGTACAAATAAGGGGAAAAGGAACCAACGATTGATTAAAATGGTTACCTAAAAGGGAGCGGCAGGTGAAGAGGTAGAGAAGGTGGGGTTGGAAGATGGACTTTTCTGGATGACCTCAACTTTGGAAACTTGGGTTTTACATAATTAAAAACAAAACTAGATAAAAAGAAGAAAGAGTCCCTAAAAGTTAAAACTCAAATTGACTTGAAATGTAAAAATATAGCATAACTTTTGAATAACTGTATATTGAGCTGGTAGCATAAACACATGGAGAAGGATTTTTCCATGTTACTCAAAACACAGTATTTTTACTTTTATTTATTTATTTATTTTTAAAACACAGTATTTTTACTATACATACCTAGTGAGGTATATCCTAAGGACAAGAAGAGTTACCAAGAAATCTTAAACGGTACTCAGGAATATTGTTAGTAACAATATTGGCATTGTTATTTCAAAATTGGGTGTCAGGGCTGAGCCCGTGGCGCACTCGGGAGAGTGCAGCGCTGGGAGTGCAGTAGTGCTCCCGCCGCGGGTTCGGATCCTATATGGGGATGACTGGTGCACTCACAGCGCTCACTGGCTGAGCACAGTGCAGCTGGTCTCAAAAAGGACAAAAAAAAAACAAAAAAAAAATTGGGTGTCTATGTGTGCAATTACTATATATGCATATGCATAAATATGTTAATGTCCTAGTAACAAGATAACAAGAGTTTCAGCATAAGGAAACAGAGATCCAAATAAAAAATTAAAGAAGCTAAGTAAAAACCCTGTAATAGATTCAAATTGGAAATATGAGTTTATAAATACTTTCTCTAAAAAGCATGTATTTCCTAGCTCTGCCCACTGGAAAGTCCTAGAAACAATAACCTAGCAGCAATGAACACCTTTGTAACCAGACAGTGGTCTCTAAATACCATTTCCCACTATGGGAAACCAGGACTCCTTGGAGAAATGGTTGATTCCAGACCTGGGGCAGGAATTTAGAAGATGAGTCTGGGATATCTTTTTAGGCCAGAAAACAAGAAATCTATCTGATATGACTAGAGCCATGTCAAAAAGACACTGAAGCTATCTTCAAGGGGTTTCTGGGACAACTTAAGATCCAAAAGGATAGTGTAAGAAGAAGAACTTCAATGGATTGAAACACCAAATATATAGAAATACACGAGCTCATAATGGTCCTAAAAAAATGAAAGAAAACTCATTGGTCAACTTTGGAGGTTGCTAGGGAAACCATTTATTAGTCTGTAAATTGGCAAATAGAGAAAAAGAACCCAGTATTTGTCCTACCTTTCCTGGCCACACTGTATTTCAGAGTAACCTCGTAGTTGGTTGTATTCGTGGCTGTTGTAACAAATGACCAGAAACTGCATGGCTTAAAAGAACAGAAATTTATTTTCCCACAGTTATGGATACCAGATATCTGAAATCAGGGTGTTGGTAGGGCAAAGCTCCCCCCAGAGGCACTAGGGGAAGATTTTTCTTGCTCTTCCAGTTTCTAGTGGGTTTAGGCGTTCCTCGGCTTGTGGCT